CCTTTTCCTGTCCATCTCTTATCCACTAACTCATAACCTCTGTGCCTGTCTATCCACTAACTCATAACCTCTGTGTCTGTCTATCCACTAACAAACAACCTCTGTGTCTGTCTCTCCACTAACTCATAACCTCTGTGTGTGTCTGTCTATCCACTAACAAACAACCTCTGTGTCTGTCTATCCACTAACACACATCCTCTGTGTCTGTCTATCCACTAACTCATAACCTCTGTGTCTGTCTATCCACTAACTCATAACCTCTGTGTCTGTCTATCCACTAACTCATAACCTCTAACAAACAACCTCTGTGTCTGTCTATCCACTAACTCATAACCTCTGTGTCTGTCTATCCACTAACAAACAACCTCTGTGTCTGTCTATCCACTAACAAACAACCTCTGTGTCTGTCTATCCACTAACTCATAACCTCTGTGTCTGTCTATCCACTAACAAACAACCTCTGTGTCTGTCTATCCACTAACACACAACCTCTTTGTCTATCCACTAACACACAACCTCTGTGTCTGTCTATCCACTAACTCTCCCTCTCTCTCGGTCTCTCCACTAACTCTCTTTTTTTCTCTCTCTCTCTCCTAACTCTCCCTGTTTTTTTCTCGGTCTCTCCACTAACTCCCCCTCTCTCTCTCGGTCTCTCCACTAACGCTCCCTCTCTCTCTCCCTCTTTTTTTCTCGGTCTCTCCACTAACTCTTCATCTCCTTCTCTTTCCCACACTTCCAGCATCTCTGACTGTCCAACAATCTTGTGTTTTTTCCCACCCATCATTCTGCTCCTTACCAAGTACCATCTGTCCATATATCTAGCTTTTGCCCTGTTCATTCTTCTCCTCTTACTGTCCGTTAGCTCTCCGCCTTCATTTCTCCTGCAACCCAGCTTTCCTATTGATACGTCTCAACCTTTGTTTTTTCATTTACTCTTTTTCTTCATGATAAACCTTTCTTATACTGTATAACTTCTATTCATAGTTACAACCATCTCTCGACAATGTGTCCTGGTATCCATGTCTTGACGGATGTTGTACGGAGCAGTCTGAGAAACTTCATTCACCTTCTGTCACCTGGGGATTCCACCACTGGCACTAAGAGACATTACTTGGGTCTAGATACCTACCGTCCACCCCCAACACCTCCCGGCTCCCAGCCTGCCCCTTCTAACTCACAGCTTATAATTCACCAGGTCACTTTTCAGCTTCCCTTCCAAGTGGAAGTCTTATTTGAGTCAGACAGCTTTCTCCAACGCCCAAGTCCACTTTCTGGGAGTGCTTTAAGTGACTTACTGCAGACTCATCGCATGAAAATGGCCGAGCGGTTCAGGAGAATTTTCAAACTGGAGGAGAAAGGATTCATTCCAGACCAGGTTGCGTTTGCACAAGCTGCCCTATCAAATATGCTGGGTGGAATGGGATACTTCTATGGCAGTTCACTAGTCCAGTCTCTGTACAATCCTGAACCTTTGCAGTACCCACAAGCACCACTCTACACTGCAGTCCCTTCTCGATCTTTCTTTCCTCGAGGCTTCCTTTGGGATGAAGGGTTTCACCTGCTGTTGATTGCTCGCTGGAACACCTCTCTAGCATGGCAGTCTTTGGCTCATTGGTTAGACCTAATGAATGTGGATGGATGGATCCCACGTGAGCAGATTCTTGGGCTTGAAGCTCGCAGCAAAGTGCCAAACGAGTTTGTGGTTCAGCGTGATGAGAATGCCAATCCCCCAACACTGTTTCTGGCTTTGCATCAGCTTTTGGCAAAGGAGGATGTAACATCAGAAGACCTGCAATACCTGCGCCGTGCATATCCTCGTCTTAAGACCTGGTACAATTGGTTTAATGTGACCCAAGCTGGACGTCTTCCAAACACATACCGGTGGAGAGGAAGAGACAAAGACCCCTTTCGTTTCCTGAATCCAAAGACACTGACGTCCGGTTTGGATGACTATCCACGGGCATCCCATCCGTCAGAGGATGAACGACACGTTGATCTGTTCTGCTGGATGGCTTTAGCTTCTGAAGTGATGGCAAATATCTCTGATCTGTTGGGAGAAGATGGGGTACAGTATCATGAGTCACAGCGTATACTTACAGACAACACTCTGCTGGACCGCCTCCACTGGGCTGAGAAACTTGGGTCTTATGCAGATTATGGCAACCACACAAAGAATGTAGCACTTGAGTGGGAAAGGTTAAGTCCTCTTCCTGGGCAGGACCCCCACAGACTTCCACCACCAAAGCTTGTTAGGGTTGTAAAGAAGCCTCCTAGGCTACAGTTTGTAGACTCCCTCGGCTATGTATCTCTGTTTCCCTTTTTCCTTCAGATTTTAACTCCCGATTCTCCCAAGCTTGGGCAGCTGCTTGCCCATTTGCGAGATGCTGATAAGCTGTGGACACCCTATGGTCTCCGCTCATTGTCAAAGAGCAGCTCCCTCTACATGAAGCGCAACACTGAGCATGATGCCCCCTACTGGCGGGGCCCTGTCTGGATTAATATGAACTATTTGGCAGTTAGATCCTTGCACAAGTATTCCCACACGGAAGGACCACATCGTCATCAGGCTGCCCTTTTATATAGGGAGCTGCGGGAGAACTTGCTTAGCAACCTGTACAGACAGTACAAAGATACAGGCTTTTTGTGGGAGCAATACAATGACAAGACTGGCTGGGGTCAGGGAAGCTTCCCATTTACAGGGTGGTCATCTTTGGTAGTGCTGATGATGGCAGAGGAATACTAAATGTTAATGCAGAGCACTGTACTGAACACTACCACCAACACAAGGAGTTCAGGAACTGTGTGGGAGTCTGCCTGAGCTCTGCTGTTAGAAGATATATTGTTACTTAATCCATATGATGAAACCTTAACTGGTTCTACTGGTGGACCTGTGACATAATTTATTTTATGGGTGGGATTTGTGTAACCCTGTTTCTACTGAAGGGACCTATATTGTCATTGTTGCAAAAAAATGAACCAGCAATATATCTGGTTGTGTGGGTAAAACAAGTGGGACCTGTGATTTTGGATGAACGGGACCTATGATGTCACTGTTTGTACTAGTTGTATCTATGATGTCACTGAGTGGATGAGTGGGATTTGTGGCATCGATTCCTGGATGGTGGGACCAGTGACCTCACTGAATGCGTGGGAGGGACCTTTGATGTTACAGGATACATGGGTGAGACCTGTGGCATCACTGGTTGGATGAATAAGATCTGTGATGTCACTGGTTGCATGGAGGGGAGTTATGATGTTACCAGCTGAACTGACAGGTCACAAGCTATGTCCCACCACCCATCCCACCATGGGCAAGCCGCATGCATGAGAAACTGTGCGAGGAATTCAATCTGACACTTGCAGTGAATGGAGTTTTATACGGCGTGATGTTTAAACCTGATGCAAATAATGGCCGTTACCTTAACTGCTTCCCTGCCATGTAGGGGCCAATCTGACACTTGCAGTGAATGGAGTTTTATACGGCGTGATGTTTAAACCTGATGCAAATAATGGCCGTTACCTTAACTGCTTCCCTGCCATGTAGGGGCCATACTGTGCTAACCTGCCCAGCACACCACTTATTAACTGGTGATCCCTGGACTTTTAAAGAAATCTATGGAGAAATAAAATACATCCTGTATATCTCTGCCTCATGTAATTACTTCCTGTAACGATGGGTATTAGAATCCCCTCTGCCTGGGTTGGTATGAGTAACGATGGGTATTAGAATCCCCTCTGCCTAAATTGGTATGAGTAACGATGGGTATTAGAATCCCCTCTGCCTGGGTTGGTATGAGTAACGATGGGTATTAGAATCCCCTCTGCCTGGGTTGGTACGAGTAACGATGGGTATTAGAATCCCCTCTGCCTGGGTTGGTATGAGTAACGATGGGTATTAGAATCCTCTCTACCTGGGTTGGTACGAGTAACGGTGGGTATTAGAATCCCCTCTGCCTGGGTTGGTACAAGTAACGATGGGTATTAGAATCCCCTCTGCCTGGGTTGGTACAAATAACGATGGGTATTAGAATCCCCTCTGCCTGGGTTGGTACGAGTAACGATGGGTATTAGAATCCCCTCTGCCTGGGTTGGTACGAGTAACGATGGGTATTAGAATCCCCTCTGCCTGGGTTGGTACGAGTAACGATGGGTATTAGAATCCCCTCTGCCTGGGTTGGTATTAGAATCCCCTCTGCCTGGGTTGGTATGAGTAACGATAGGTATTAGAATCCCCTCTGCCTGGGTTGGTATTAGAATCCCCTCTGCCTGGGTTGGTATGAGTAACGATGGGTATTAGAATCCCCTCTGCCTGCGTTGGTATGAGTAACGATGGGTATTAGAATCCCCTCTGCCTGCGTTGGTATGAGTAACGATGGGTATTAGAATCCCCTCTGCCTGGGTTGGTATGAGTAACGGTGGGTATTAGAATCCCCTCTGCCTGGGTTGGTATGAGTGACGATGGGTATTAGAATCCCCTCTGCCTGGGTTGGTATAAGTAACTATGGGTATTATAATCCCCTCTGCCTGGGTTGGTATGAGTGAGGATGGGTATTAGAATCCCCTCTGCCTGGGTTGGTATGAGTAACGATGGGTATTAGAATCCCCTCTGCCTAAGTTGGTATTAGAACCCCCTCTGCCTGGGATGGTATGAGTAATGGTGTGGCTGTCTGTCAAGGTATCACCACCACGGATGCCCATTTCCCCGTAACATGCAAATAATCCACAAAGTAAAATATCGCCAGTATCACATAATCACCCCCCCCCAAACATGAGCCAAGGGTTAATGCTGGGACAAGACTGTTTATTGGCAGTACAGACATCAAATTTATACAGTCCGTAAACTCCTCCTGTGTGCCTGTGAGATAATAGAGTCAGAAACTGTACTAAACTCAATTATCTCCAGGCACAGAAAAATGAACACTATTACAACACCCAAAAGTTCCCCCTAAAATACATGGGAACATGGATAGCCTGGATCTGGGTGATCAATATATCCAAAAATCACCCAGATGCATTTAGTAGTTTTGGATCGCCATCGCAGGGAAGTTCTGCCCGGTCTACCATGAGGTAGAAGCCCAAAATAGTTTCATGGAAATTGTGGCAAGAGCCTGTCTCCGTTCGTGGGGTTTTGTATGAAAACCACATAAGGTATAGGAAAGCTGGTTCGTGTAGAATGCTCCCTGTGCTCGGTATTCTGTAACTCCCGAACGCTGTTTGTCTAAGTGAACGGGAACTAGAACCATGGTAGATACATGGTGACCTGTGTTCGCAAGAGTGCCTGGCCAAAATGAGTTCCAGGCACTCAACGGCCAGGTCCCGCTGCCAGGGTTCGGGAGACAAGATGGCCGCCATCCATTGTCTCAAGCACATGCATTCGTATGTACGAAATGGCGGCCACCCAGTAGAGCATTCTATTAATTATTTCCTTTGCGGCTTTCGTACAAGATACATAACGTTCCACGTTATAATGGGTGTCTGGGGTGGTCTTGGTTCGGGTACCGAACAAAATAAGCCTAACAAAACTGGGACATGAATCCAGACCAACAGAAATAGCCAAACATGATGGTGTATTCCTTCACACCTTTTCGGGTCAACTAGGGACTGTCTGGACCCCACGTACTGGTCAAGTTACCAGTTCAGTCTGACGAGATAGCCCATCTGCATTCCCATTCTGTTTGCCAGGTCGGTAATGGATGGTGAAGTTGTAGGGCTAGACTCCACCTCAGAAGACGGGCATTATCTCCAGCGACCCGGCTGAGCCAAATTAGGGGGTTTGGTCGGTGATGAGGGTAAAAGCGCGGCCATAGAGATATGGAGTCAGTTTTTTCAGTGCCCATACTCAGACTAAGCACTCTTTCTCAATGGCTGCATAACTAACCTCCTTAGGTAGGAGCTTGCAGCTCAAACAGGGAACTGGGTGCTTCCCTCTGTCTTCTCCGACCTGGCTTAGAACTGCCCCCAGAGCAAACATGGAAGTGTCTGTATGGATGACAAAGCGTTTGTTAGGGTCTGGGGCAGCTAGAAGGGATTGCTTCAGAGCTTGGAAAGCCACCTCACACTCCGGGTACCACATGACCTGTCTGGGTAAATTTTTCTTAGTCAAGTCAGTCAGGGGTTGGACCTTGGCGCTATAGTCTGGTACGAAGCGGCTGTCCCTACAAAGGCCAAGACTTGCGTCTTGGTACGGGGAGTCGGCCAGTTAGCAACGGCCTCAATCTTAGCAGGCTCTGGCCGTTGCTTACCACATCCGACACAGTGGCCCAGATACTGCACCTCCGCCATACCAATATAACATTTGTCTGGCTTCAAGGTGAATGGACCACTATAGTGCCAGGAAAACAAGTATGTTTTCCTGGCACTATAGGGTCTCTAGGTCCCCCCCACCCTTAGGGTCCCCCTCCCGCTGGGCTCTAGGGTGAGGAAGGGGATAAACACATGCCTGTTCTCCACCAGCCAGGCTCCATCGGCGGTGGGGACTCTCCGCCTCCTTTCCCCATCATCGGCTGAATGCGCATTCAGCCAGTCCACAGGAAAGCATTCTCAATGCTTTCCTATGGACGCTGGCGTCTTCTCACTGTGAAAATCAGTGGGAAGCGCCTCTGGCGGCTATCAATGAGACCGCCACTAGAGGCTGGATTAAGCCATAGGTAAACATTTCTCTGAAACTGCTATGTTTACAGCAGAAAGGGTTAATCCTAGATGGACCTGGCACCCAGACCACTTCATTAAGCTGAAGTGGTCTGGGTGCCTATAGTGGTCCTTTATCCGGCTCCCTTAATCCTGGCCAACCCTGTCCCTATCTGGTATAGGTGAGGCTCCCCGGTGTCGCTATAAATATTAATGTTATGCATGTATGCACAAGCATAATCCTGGAGACCATCTAGGACAGGGATAGGCAACCTTCGGCACTCCAGATGTTGCGGACTACATTCCCCATAATGCTGGCAAAGCATCATGGGAGATGTAGTCCAAAACATCCGGAGTGCCGAAGGATGCTTATGCCTTATCTAGGAGGTTCTTTATCCCAACCTCCCCTACCCGAGAAGGTGACCGAGAGCAGAGGCCATCGAGTTGGTCCAATTGGGGTACCCAAGCGATACACCTCCTGGAAGCAAAACTAGCCACCTCCTCAAAGGAACCAGGATATACCCCATTAGCTACCCACAAAGTAGAGACCCCGGGCCAGACTCCCTTGAGACAGCTCTCTTACTGCATACCTGAAGCAGTGAGGGAAGGGATGCTGAAAGAAAAAACCAAGATGCTCCGATTGGGGGTCATTGAGCATTCTGAGAGTCCTTGAGCCTCTCCTCTAGTATTGGCGGCTCAATGATAAAACGGTCACAGACGCCTACCCGATGCCCCGGGTAGACTAACTGCTGGACCGTATTGCTAGGGGAAAATATCTGACCACTATCGGCCTCTGTAAGTGCTATTGGCAGATTCCTCTAGCTGAGGAGGCCATACCGAAATCGGTCTTCGTCATCCCGTTCGGCTTATACCAGTTCCGGGTTATGCAGTTCGGGGTAGAAACAAACGCAGGTGATGATGGAAGTCCAGCAGTGTTCAGGAGTTTCTGTGTTCAATTTTAGTTCCATAAGATTTATGCCCAGACACCGCTGCCTGCTTTCGCAGGAACAAGATGTCCGCTTCCTAGCTGGAACAGGGGACAAACCGCAGCACTTCTGCCCACAGTCACCGTGGCTTGACTGGGGTCCTATAACCTCTCCCTCCAGGAGTCGAATGGGGAACTCTCTCTAGCCACCCCCAGGCACTGGACGACACTCAGTCCTGGGAACTCTAGACCTTACAAGGACTTTCCCCGTTGAATCCCCACACTGTAACAGTGATTAAAGAGCAGCCCTTTCCCCTCCCAGTGACACATAGTTCTGGGAGTACAAGCTGGAATGCCTTTCATCTGGCCATAGGGACTGCTTTTTTACAATTTGGAGTCACAGTAAACACACCCATGACACTCCCACAGAAAAAAGGATAATCCCTCCCCTAGGCCTGGGAGATAATTGAGTCAGGAACTGTACTAAACAACATTATCTCCAGGCACAAAAAACTCAAATTTCACAAACACATCAAAAGTACCTTAAAAATATATATTAAACTCCCACCCCCCCAAAAAAAATTACTTTCCCTGATAACCCCGATCTGGGTGACCAACATGTCCAAAAATCACCCAGATAGGTTTTCCTGGAAGTCATAATTTGACCGACCGCACGCATGGTCCTAAGCCCAAAACAGTTCCATAAGATCAGGGCTAGCGGTCGGTCTAGTTCGGTAGTTTAAAACCGAACAAACTACTCAACGCAGTCAATATTCTTACACTGGAGCTTGCTCCCCCTGTTCGTGGGAACATTTCCAGTGAACAGTGTCTTCATATACGTTGTAGAACCGAACGCAGGTGATTCTGGAAGTCCAGCGGTGTTCGGGAGTTTCTTTGTCTGTTTTCAGTTCCACCAACAACACGACCAAACATCGCTGCCTGCGTTTGTGCGAACAAGATGGCCACCACCTCGTGGTCGTCCATAGGAAATGCGGCCACCCAGACGAACACTTAGAACACTGCGGTGGAAATTGCTGCAAAGTAGCAATTAGGCTTAACAAGCTACAGGGTGGTCTCCGGTTCGTGTGGCTGTTCGGTTCCCGAACCATATAGGCCAAATACAAGAACGGAGACTTTTTCAGTGTATATTACAGGCAATCTATTGTGTGTAAGGGAATGGCAAACCTTACATTTCAACTCACAATCACTGTATGTAAGGGAATGATAGATCCAACGGTGAGGGACAGATCAATTACTGTGTACCAGAGATTAGGTGTAGGAATGGACAGATTAGATGCTGTGTATCAGATTGTGTGTAGGAATGGACAGACTAGGTCCTGCGTATCAGGATTGTGTGTAGGAATGGACAGATTAGATGCTGCGTATCAGATTGTGTGTAGGAATGGATAGACTAGATGCTGCGTATCGGAGATTGTGTGTAGGAATAAACAGACTAGGTGCTGCGTATCGGAGATTGTGTGTAGGAATAAACAGACTAGGTGCTGCGTATCGGAGATTGTGTGTAGGAATGTACAGATTAGATGCTGCGTATCAGATTGTGTGTAGGAATGGACAGATTAGATGCTGCGTATCAGATTGTGTGTAGGAATGCACAGATTAGATGCTGCGTATCAGATTGTGTGTAGGAATGGAAAGATTAGATGCTGTGCATCGGAGATTGTGTGGACAGATTAGATGCTGTGCATCGGAATGGACAGAGTAGATGCTGTGTATCAGATTGTGTGTAGGAATGGACAGACTAGATGCTGCGTATCAGATTGTGTGTAGGAATGGACAGACTAGGTCCTGGGTATCAGGATTGTGTGTAGGAATGGACAGATTAGATGCTGCGTATCAGATTGTGTGTAGGAATGGATAGACTAGATGCTGCGTATCAGAGATTGTGTGTAGGAATAGACAGACTAGGTGCTGCGTATCGGAGATTGTGTGTAGGAATGTACAGATTAGATGCTGCGTATCAGATTGTGTGTAGGAATGCACAGATTAGATGCTGCGTATCAGATTGTGTGTAGGAATGGAAAGATTAGATGCTGTGCATCGGAGATTGTGTGGACAGATTAGATGCTGTGCATCGGAATGGACAGAGTAGATGCTGTGTATCAGATTGTGTGTAGGAATGGACAGATCAGTTACCGTGTATCAGAGATTGTGTGTAGGAATGGACAGATTAGATGCTGCGTATCAGATTGTGTGTAGGAATGGAAAGATTAGATGCTGCGTATCAGATTGTGTGTAGGAATGGAAAGATTAGATGCTGTGCATCGGAGATTGTGTGGACAGATTAGATGCTGTGCATCGGAATGGACAGAGTAGATGCTGTGTATCAGATTGTGTGTAGGAATGGACAGATCAGTTACCGTGTATCAGAGATTGTGTGTAGGAATGGACAGATTAGATGCTGCGTATCAGATTGTGTGTAGGAATGGAAAGATTAGATGCTGCGCATCAGAGATTGTGTGGACAGATTAGATGCTGTGCATCGGAATGGACAGATCAGTTGCCGTGTATCGGAGATTGTGTGTAGGAATGGACAGATCAGTTGCCGTGTATCGGAGATTGTGTGTAGGAATGGACAGATCAGTTGCCGTGTATCGGAGATTGTGTGTAGGAATGGACAGATCAGTTACCCTGTATCAGAGATTGTGTGTAGGAATGGACAGATCAGTTGCCGTGTATCGGAGATTGTGTGTAGGAATGGACAGATCAGTTACCGTGTATCAGAGATTGTGTGTAGGAATGGACAGATTAGATGCTGCGTATCAGATTGTGTGTAGGAATGGAAAGATCAGTTGCCGTGTATCGGAGATTGTGTGTAGGAATGGACAGATCAGTTGCCGTGTATCGGAGATTGTGTGTAGGAATGGACAGATCAGTTACCCTGTATCAGAGATTGTGTGTAGGAATGGACAGATCAGTTGCCGTGTATCGGAGATTGTGTGTAGGAATGGACAGATCAGTTACCCTGTATCGGAGATTGTGTATAGGAATGGACAGATTAGCCTCTCTGTTGACACAGCTATTGTTCGGGAGTAGAAAGATATTTGGGACTTCAAAAAAAACCAAACCAAAACATTGTCCTGACAGCCATTAGACTGAGTTTACATGTAGGAAATTCTCTTTATGACAAGTTTAGTTTAGGTCACAGTGCACATTGAGAAACAGACATAACTTCTCCATTACTTAATTTGAGAAAGTCTGCACAAGTTCAGTTTTTCCAACATCAAAAATCACCAAAAGATGGGCCAGGAGGTATTTGCACCATTTAATACAAAGAAAATAGGCATCTTGCATGTTCCTCACAGACTTTCACACAGGTTGGACTGGAGAGTTGGGCTCAGTAACCCCCTCATTACAGTGGGACTCTGACACTTTATTCCTTCCTGGGCATCCTGGATTATCTTGCAGCCTCGCTCTTTCCTCCTCGTCCCCTTGAACCTGGCAGAGGCACACCTCTATCCCAGAGTCCCCAGTCAGCCTACGGTGTCTGTAATGCTCCTCTTCTTCTTCCTCCTCTTCTTCTTCCTCCTCCTCCTCCTCCTCCTCAATATCCCAACAGTGGTATCCATTGCCTTCAAATAAATCCACATAGGAGGAGAAGACAGCCTGCTTGTGAAGGACACTTGACTCCACCTCACCCACCACCTCCTCCTCCTCCTCTGGGCACTGGGGCCAACTGCCCCCCTCACTAGGTGTACTGCCTGGACTAGTGCCAGTTTCATCTGTAACCTGCACAGAGAAGGAGGAGATGCTGGCTGATGTCACACAGTCTGAACCACACGAGCAGCTGCTGGAAAGATCGGAGCTGGGGCAGGGGGAGACACCATCTGAAGGCGAAGGGGGTAGAGGAGAAGAACAAGGAAGGTCCAACTGGTTAAGGATGGAGCTATATGGAGGTGGTGGTGTGGTGGGACGGTATGCAACCTCTTCGTAGGCAGGAAGCTTACATGATGCCAAAACCCCTGTATAAAGAAAGAAAAAAAAAAAAACTATGCTGTGGTAGTAGAATGAAATTGGGAGGATGATATATGCTGGGACTGATGTGAATGGGGGAGGGGGGAGGGAGAGGGGAGGCGAGGCAATGCGTGTAGTTTGTGGGTGTCGGGGAGGGCGGCAATGCGTGTAGTTTGTGGGTGTCGGGGAGGGCGGCAATGCGTGTAGTTTGTGGGTGTGGGGAGGGCGGCAATGCGCAGTAGTTTGTGGGTGTCGGGGAGGCCACGCAGTAGTTTGTGGGGTGTCGGGGAGGGCTGCAACAGCGCGGTAGTTTGTGGGTGTCGGGAGGGCTGCAATGCAGAAGCCTAGGGTGGCCTGGGAGGGGCGGCAATGCGTGTAGTTTGTGGGTGTCGGAGAGGGCTGCAATGCGTGTAGTTTGTGGGTGTCGGAGAGGGCTGCAATGCGTGTAGTTTGTGGGTGTCGGAGAGGGCAGCAATGCGTGTAGTTTGTGGGTGTCGGAGAGGGCTGCAATGCGTGTAGTTTGTGGGTGTCGGGGAGGGCTGCAATGCGTGTAGTTTGTGGGTGTCGGGGAGGGCAGCAATGCGTGTAGTTTGTGGGTGTCAGGGAGGGCAGCAATGTGCAGAAGTGGGGAACGGTTTCTAGTAATATGGAGAATGAGGGTAGAGTATATGTTCGTTCTACTCACGGAGATCTAGCATTGAGGGGGAGTAATGGTAGGCACTCTGGTAAGCAATGAGGTTGATCTCACGCTGTCGCTGCTGCAGCTGCAGGCGTAACTTGGCACGGCGATGGCGATATGCACAGCAACAGCTGAGGAGGATCAGCAACGACCACAGCAGCCAGAACCCTAAAATGGAATAACAAAAGTGAGGGCCGAGGGTGGTGGGGTGCCATTACCTTATCTAACAGTATGATAGAGGGGTGGGTGGGGGAAATACCCCAGGGGAGGAAGGAGTGATACTGCCCCAGGGAGGGGGTAAAAGGGCTGATCCTGTCCCAGAGGAGGAAGCCCCAGAGGAGAGATACTGCCCCAGGGAGGGGGTGAAAGGGCTGATCCTGTCCCAGAGGAGGAAGCCCCAGAGGAGAGATATTGCCCCAGGGAGGGGGTGAAAGAGCTGATCCTGTCCCAGAGGAGGAAGCCCCAGAGGAGAGATACTGCCCCAGGGAGGGGGTGAAAGGGCTGATCCTGTCCCAGAGGAGGAAGCCCTAGCAGAGAGAGGAATGATACTGCCTCAGGGAGGGGGATATTGTCCCGGGGGAGGATAGAGTTATGGCATTGCCCTGCACAGAGGTGTTATAGGTAGGTAAAACATGCCCAGCTTGACTTACACCACAATTCATAGTAGTAGGTGCAGCAGCCTGTCTCCCCGCAGCAGTGGCCGGTCTCACAGACGTAGGGCCGGTTGTTGATCCCGGGGCACAGCTCCCGAGCCTGCTTAATAAACAGAACTTACTGTACACACAGGACAAGCAACTGACTGGATTCAAAACACACACACACACACTCACACTATCCAAGCGGGCGCGCGCATACGCACGTATTGTTACTATAAACTCTTGCAATGTTGCTACAGTAAAGGATTGATTGACAAATCTAGGAGCCAGCCAAAAGAGTTAGGAGCCCTCCCCCTCCTTAAAGGAACACTGCAGCTTAATGTAGTGGCGCTACACTCTATAGCCTGTCCCTGCTCTGTGTGTTTACATTGCTGCCTAGTAACACCTCTAGTGGCAGTCACTGGAATGGCCACTAAAGTGTCTCCTATCTCAGTGCTGCACCTACGTACAGTGTCTCCATATTCTGCATGGAGGCTCTGAACGTTCCCCATAGAGATGTATCTATCAGAAGATGCTGATTGGTCATTGATATCAGATATGGAAGAGGACATGCGAAAGTGAGACCGGCACAGCGCTGGAAAAAAGGAGAGTAAATATACCATTCCCATGAGATCAGAGACACAAAGTTAATGACAAACAAACACAGAGTATTACTTTTTATTATTATTGGATAGCGTCAAATAGATACACACACAAAGATTCATAGATACACACAAATACAGACACACACAAAGATTCATAGATACACACAAATACAGACACACACAAAGATTCATAGATGCAAATACACATAACACACACACACAAAAAGATTCATAGATACAAAGAAATACACACACAAAGATTCATAGATACAGCTCCCGTGTAAATATTTCGAGTCCCGCGGCCGTCAGAGCGTTGTCACGGGTTACCATGGCAACGCTCCATGTAGCACGCAGGCCGCGAGAGTTAGACAGGGGAGCTGAAGGGAAGGTAAGAGTGTGCTGGGCCCCCCACTGCCACCGGACCACCAGGGAATGCCATAGCCCCCCTCCCAGGCCAGGTAACAAGCAGGGAGGGGGGAATAAAAAAATAAATAAAAAATTAACCCCTTAAGACCGGAGGGCGTACAATTACGCCCTACTTTAGGTGGCTCTAAACGCCGCCAGGCGTAATTGTACACCCTGCGGTCTTTTCATACTTACCCGGTCGCCGGCGATCGCGGTGGGGGGGGGGACTCCCAGGGAGCCCCCCCGCGGTAGATCCTCCTCCTCAGGTGCCCCCGGGCCATGTGAGAGTGGGGTCCTTGCGAGGACACCACAATCACATGGCCGGGTAGGCTGCCTCCTGCATTGCCAGCAGGGGGGCTGCCTGTAATGACAGGTGGTCCCTCTGCTGGCTGAAAATAAAAAGATTAAAAAGTGTAAAAAAAAAAAAAAAAGTATACTTGGATCATTATATATATATATATATGTGATCTAAGTATATATACACATATACATACACACACGTACACTGTCTAGGTGTATTTTACTATTAATATATATATATATATATATATATATATATATATATATATATATATATAATTATATATATATATATATATTAATATCAAATTACACGTAGACTGATACTGATTAAATATATATATAATTATTGTTATATATTTGGATATAATATAAAAAAATTAAATATGTAAATACGTTAAAAAATTTAATTAAAAAATAATTAAAAATATATAGATGTGTGTTATTTCGTTCTAACTGTATTGTGATAATATATATTTATATCAAAATACATGTAGAACGAAATAATACATATATCTACATACATATATACGTATATATCACTATATATATATATATACCTATATATAAATAAAAATATTTTTAAAAATGTTGGGTGATTCCATTATAAGAGGTGTGGAGATGGACAATGGTGGTCTTGTGAGGTGTCTTCCTGGAGCTACTGCTCACAGAGACAGGAGACGTATCTGTAATATTGTTAAGCGAGCAAAGCAGGAAGGGGAATTGGATGTACTTGTCCATCTAGAGACAAATGACTTGCTTTGCAATGAGGTTTCAGAGGTTAAGGAAGTTTTTAGTGTTTTTGCCAATGATATACGGCAGGTTGCTTCCACACTGTCATTCTCTGAAGTTCTGCCTGTGCATAACACTCAGAACAACATGCGGATGCGTATTAGGGACTTTAATTTGTGGCTTGGTGAATGGTGTCGGGAGCAAGGATTTGGCTTTATTTCTCATGGTAGCTCTGTTTGGAATGGAGATCAGCTGTACAAAAAAGATGGTTTGCATCTTTCTCAAAAGGGAACAAATGTTCTCAGTGAGCAGTTCAGAGGTTTTGCTAGGATGTATTTAAACTAGGAGGGGGGGGCAAAAGGGTGATAAAACATCAATCCAATTGTCCACCAAAACAAGGACAGAAGGTGCCTGTAGCAAGTGTGTTAAAAAGGATAAGCTTAGAGTCATGTCTACAAATGCTCGCAGTTTAGGGAATAAGATCCATGAACTTGTGGCAATAATGGCAACTGATAGTGTAGATTTAGTCGCTGTTACTGAGACATGGTACAATGAGAAAAATGACTGGGACATAGCAATACCATGGTACTCTTTATATAAGAAAGATAGGGAAGGCAAGGAAGGGGGAGGGGTGGCCTTGTATGTGAAGGATAGCATAAAATCTAGCCTAATAAAAGTTAGTGAGACAAACAGAGTCTGTTTGGGCTACGTTAGAATTTGGTAATCACACAGTAACTCGTGTAGGTGTGATTTATAGGCCCCCAGGACAAATTGAAGAGTTAGATAATCTACTAGTTGAGGAAATAGCTAAAATGACAATGAAGGGGAAGTTATCATCATGGGTGACTTTAATCTTCCTGATGTAAATTGGAAAACAAAATTAGCTACTTGTGCCAGGAGCACACATATTCTAAACTCCCTACTGGGATTATCTCTAAAACAAGTTGTTGAGGAGCCAACTCGTAAAGAGGCCATACTAGATTTATTGTTAACAAATGGAGATTTGGTATCAGATGTTACTGTAGGTGAAAGTTTAGGATCCAGTGATCATCAGTCAGTGTGGTTTAATATAAGAACAGTGACTGAGTCACACCACACAAAAACAAGAGTTTTAGACTTTAGAAAAACAGACTTTTCTAAAATTAGAATATGGGTAGAGGAGTCATTATCAGACTGGAGCAATTTAAATGGAGTCCAAGAAAAATGGGATTATTTAAAAGTTGCACTATTGAAGGCAACAGAAAATTGCATTAGGCTTGTCAGTAAAAGCAAAAAATTCAAGAAACCACTGTGGTACTCCACAGATGTGGCCAAAATAGTTAAAAACAAAAAGTTAGCATTTAGGAATTATAAAAAAACCCAGAGTGAGGAAGACAAAATGATCTATAAGATTAGGCAGAAAGAGGCTAAGCAAGTTATAAGAGCTTCCAAATCACACACAGAAGAGAAAATAGCACAGTCAGTAAAAAAGGGGGATAAAACATTTTTTAGATACATAAATGAGAAAAGAAAAGTAAAACAAGGATTAGTTATATTAAAAACAAAAGAAGGAAGGTATGTAGAAGAGGATAAAGGTCTAGCTGACTGCCTCAATGAATATTTTTGTTCTGTATTTACAGAAGAAAATGAAGGAAAGGGACCTCAGTTGAGAAAAAGGATAAATGAGTCATTTATTGCACGTGAGTTTACAGAGGAAGAGGTTCTATTTCAACTGTCAAAAGTAAAGACAAATAAGTCAATGGGACCTGATGGAATACACCCAAAGCTATTAAAAGAGCTTAGTTGTGTACTAGCAAAACCATTAACATATTTATTTAACCAATCACTGTTAACAGGAGTAGTCCCAGAAGATTGGAAGTTAGCGAATGTTGTGCCCATTCACAAGAAAGGTAATAGAGAGGAGTCGGGCAACTATAGGCCAGTAAGCCTTACTTCAGTAGTGGGGAAAGTGATGGAAACCATGTTAAAGGATAGGATTGATGAACATCTAAAACACATGGATTTCAAGATCAGAGACAACATGGGTTTACCTCAGGGAGATCATGCCAAACTAATCTTATTGATTTTTTTGATTGGGTAACTAAAATTATAGATCAGGGTGGTGCAGTAGACATTGCTTACCCAGATTTCAGTAAGGCTTTTGACACTGTTGCACATAGAAGGCTTATCAATAAACTGCAATCTTTAAGTTTGGATTCAAATATTGTTGAATGGGTAAGGCAGTGGCTGAGTGACAGGCAACAGAGGGTTGTAGTTAATGGAATATATTCTCTTTAATATTTTTATTAGTGATATTGCAGAAGGTCTTGATGGTAAGGTATGTCTTTTTGCTGATGATACTAAGATATGTAACAGGGTTGATGTTCCAGGAGGGATAAGCCAAATGACAAATGATTTAGGTAAACTAGAAAAATGGTCAGAATTGTGGCAACTGACATTTAATGTGGATAAGTTCAAGATAATGCATCTTGGACGTAAAAACCCAAGGGCAGAGTACAGAATATTTGATAGAGTCCTAACCTCAACATATGAGGAAAGGGATTTAGGGGTGATTATTTCTGATGACTTAAAGGTAGGCAGACAATGTAATAGAGCAGCAGGAAATGCCAGCAGAATGCTTGGTTGTATAGGGAGAGGTATTAGCAGTAGAAAGAGGGAAGTGCTCATGCCATTGTACAGAACACTGCTGAGACCTCACTTGGAGTATTGTACACAGTACTGGAGACTGTATCTTCAGAAGGATATTGATACCTTAGAGAGGGTTCAGAGAAGGGCCACTAAACTGGTTCACGGATTGCGGGATAAAACTTACCAGGAAAGGTTAAAGGATCTTAACATGTATAGCTTGGAGGAAAGACGAGACATGGGGGATATGATAGAAACATTTAAATATATAAAGGGAATCAACACAGTAAAGGAGGAGACTGTATTTAAAAGAAGAAAAACTACCACAACAAGAGGACATAGTCTTAAATTAGAGGGACAAAGGTTTAAAAAATAATATCAGGAAGTATTACTTTACTGAGAGGGTAGTGGATGCATGGAATAGCCTTCCAGCTGAAGTGGTAGAGGTTAACACAGTAAAGGAGTTTAAGCATGCATGGGCTAGGCATAAGGCTATCCTAACTATAAGATAAGACTAGGGACTAATGAAAGTATTTAGAAAATTGGGCAGACTAGATGGGCCGAATGGTTCTTATCTGCCGTCACATTCTATGTTTCTATGTTTCTATACACACACACATATATTAATTCTACATATATTTATGTAATATTTTTACATAATTAGGTATCTTAATTAATTACAATTAGCGGGACCTGCCGAAAGTAAAGGGAATTTAATTTGCTAGCACTATATTTAACCCTATAACTTTCCAAGACACCATAAAACCTGTACATGGGGGGTACTGTTCTTCCGGGAGACATCGCTGACCACAAATATTAGTGTTTCAAAACAGTAAAATGTATTACAACAATGATATCGCCAGTAAAAGTGAAGTTTTTTGCATTTTTCACGCACAAACAGCACTTACACGGACGACATTATTGCTGTGATAACATTTGCTGTTTTGAAACACACATATTTGTGTTCAGCGAAGTCTCCCGAGTACAACAGTACCCCTCATGTACAGGTTTTATGGTGTTTTCAAAAGTTACAGCTTCAAATATAAGGCTTGTGTTTCATTTTTTTCACATTAAAATTCGCCAGATTGGTTACGGTGCCTTTGAGACCCTATGGTAGCCCAAGAATGAATATTACCCCTATGATGGGTAAGGGGTTAAGGACTGATCCAAATGTACACGTTGTGATCAAAACAAAACCTGGCATTTGCGCTACATATTTGTCCAACTGTAATTCACCTCGTTCATATTAAATGCACCCACCCTTATTATATATCATTTTATTCAGGGGAAACAGTACAGAGGGAGCCCGGCGCTGGATTAAGGTAAGTGGCTGAAGGGGTTTTGACCCCTTCAGCGCCATGGGAGGGGGAGCCTGAGGGTGGGGGCACTCTCAGGGCACTATAGTGTCAGGAAAACCGCTTTGTTTTCCTGACACTATAGTGATCCTTTAATATGAATTAAATATAAAAATATGGGAGAAAATAACTTTTTTAAAAATGTAGTTCTACGTGACATTTTAACTGTGAATGTCATGATACTGTTTGCTTTACTGCGATAAAATACACATATATGCATTCAGCGATGTCTCACGTGTAAAACAGTAACCCCCCCCCCCTACATGTTTTATGGTGTTTTGGGAAGTTATAGGGTCAAATATAGCATGTTACATTTTTCAGTTTTTTTCCACACTGAAATTCACCAGATTGGTTACGTTGCCTTTGAGACCAGGAACGAGAATTACCCCCATGATGGCATACCATTTTCAAAAGTAGACTATGCTGTCCATGTGATCGCAAGGACCTCGCAATCACATGGCCCAGGGGAGCCGAAACAGACAGAGGGGACTCCCTGGGCTCCCAGGTAAGTCACCATACCGCGAAGGGTAAGTAGGAAGGCATAACACGCCCACGGTCCTAAAAGGACCACTATAGTGCATACTTGTTTTCCTGGCACTATAGTGCCCTGAGGGTGCCCCCACCTTCAGGGTCCCCCTCCCGCCGGGCTGGAATGGCGAGGAAAGGGGTTAAACTTACCTTTATTCCAGCGCCGGGCGGGGACCTCTCTTCCTCCTCTTCGGCTGAATGCGCATGCGCGGCAAGAGCTGCGCGTGCATTCAGCCTGTCTCATAGGAAAGCATTCATAATGCTTTCCTATGGACGCTTGCGTCTTCTCACTGTGATTTTCACAGTGAGAAGCACGCAAGCGCCTCTAGCGGCTGTCAATGAGACAGCCACTAGAGGCTTTAGAAGCTCGATTAACCCATTTATAAACATAGCAGTTTCTCTGAAACTATGTTTATTAAAAAAAAGGGTTAATCCTAGAGGGACCTGCCACCCAGACCACTTCATTAAGCTCAAGTGGTCTGGGTGCCTAGAGTGGTCCTTTAAGGCGTTAAAAATGCCTTCCCTCCCCCCTATTTTACACAAATTACATACCTACAGAAACACATACAAACACACTGCATCCACTACACACACACACACACTGCATCCACTACACACAAACACTGTATATATGTATATTTTGTGCATTTACCTTTAGAAATAGTTTACTTTTTTCAAAATGGTAAATGTACAGAATATCAATAAATTATTGGTATCGGCTTTAAAAAAAAAAAAAAAAAATCAATATCCGTCGATCCCTACTATTTGTTTCAGAGAAAATGCAGTGTTTACATTACAGCCTAGGGACACCCCCCACTGGCAACTCCTCAGATGGCTCCCTAGAGGTGCTTCCTGGGGCAGTGCTGCACAGTGTGACTGACATTCAGAGTCTCCACCCTCTGCATGCAGACACTGAATTTTCCTCATAGAGATGCATTGATTCAATCAGGGGCAGAGGCAGCAGCTGCAGACTTAAATACAAGATTTACTATAATTAGGGAGGCAGGGGAGCTAGATGGTGGGTTTAGCACTATAGGGTCGGGAATACATGTTTGTGTTTCTGACCCTATAGTGTTCTTTTAAGGCCAGAGAAGTGGACATGAAAGCATAGTTGACAGATATTTTTCCTTTCCTGCTTCCCTGACCTTCAATTCACTTTGAAGTTTCACTTTAGCGAATAACCTGTTAAAGTACAGCGGGAACAGAGAGCTCGGGGGACACATGGTGCTGGGTACAGTAGGAACAGAGAGCTCGGGGATCACATGGTGCTTGGTACAGGGGGCACAGAGAGCTCGGGGGTCACATGGTGCTGGGTAAAAGCTAAGAGCACTGGGGGTCACAGAGACCTTGGGGATCACATGGTGCTATGTACAGGGGGCACAGAGAGCTCGGGATCACATGGTGTTATGTACAGGGGGCACAGAGAGCTCAGGGTCACATGGTGCTGGGTACAGGGGGCACAGAGCGCTCAGGGTCACATGGTCCTGGGTACAGGGGGCACAGAGCGCTCAGGGTCACATGGTCCTGGGTACAGGGGGCACAGAGCGCTTAGGGTCACATGGTGCTGGGTACAGGGGGCACAGAACGTTCAGGGTCACATGGTGCTGGGTACAGGGGGCACAGAGCGCTCAGGGTCACATGGTCCTGGGTACAGGGGGCACAGAGCGCTCAGGGTCACATGGTGCTGGGTACAGGGGGCACAGAACGTTCAGGGTCACATGGTGCTGGGTACAGGGGGCACAGAGCGCTCAGGGTCACATGGTCCTGGGTACAGGGGGCACAGAGCGCTCAGGGTCACATGGTCCTGGGTACAGGGGGCACAGAGCGCTCAGGGTCACATGGTGCTGGGTACAGGGGGCACAGAGCTCTCAAGGTCACATGGTGCTGGGTACAGAGCGCTCAGGGTCACATGCTGCTGCGTACAGGGGGCACAAAGAGCTCGGGGTCACATGGTGCTGGGTACAGGGGGCACAGAGCGCTCAGGGTCACATGGTGCTGGGTACAGGGGGCACAGAGCACTCAGGGTCACATGGTGCTGGGTACCGGGGGCACAGAGCACTCAGGGTCACATGGTGCTGGGTACCGGGGGCACAGAGCGCTCAGGGTCACATGGTGCTGGGTACAGGGGGCACAAAGAGCTCGGGGTCACATGGTGCTGGATACAGGGGGCACAAAGAGCTCGGGGTCACTCCCATCCCATAGTCCCCTTACCGTGGCACTCACGGATGTGGCTATTGGAAGCATGTGTCCAGCCGTGTGCAGGTGTGAATCGTACATACAAGCCCCGATACAGGAAGAAGTGTCCTGGGCAGCCATACACGCAGCACAGTATATGTGTCAAACACACACATTCACAAACCAACAGCACAACAATTCCAGGTCTTTGTGTACAGTAAACAAAAAAGTAACACTATGGGGAGGAGGGACGGGGACTGGAGCAGTGTGATCCATCCAATTCTGGATAGAAACCTGAGCTGGATAGAACAGAGAGGATCTCAGTCAGTCCTACTTATAGAGAATTTACTCTCAGCTGGGCAGTGTCCCACAGCGCCCCCTGCAGGCAGTTACAATGACCTGCTATCGTGGGGTCTCATTACTGCTGTAATATATCAATGACTGCACACAAATAGAGAGTGATGCGATGGCTGTGTCCCTGAGAACGGGATGGAAGTATGTCCCCGGAGGTGGACGCACCGCCATCTTGGTAACCCAGAATATTAGAAAGAGACCTTTTACCATCTTGGAATACCTCGGACAGGAGACTTTTTAGCCACGTTGGAGGTGGCTATTTAGGGCAATGCCGAAACCAGAAGGATCACCATCTTAGTGGTGGCAGACAACTTCCAGCCATGGCCATATTTGGGCATTCATTTACCGAGGCAGTAGCCACACCTGCTCTATACCTGGCAGAGGGGTATTTATGGGTAAGACAAACTGCACCTGACGAAGACCACATATGGTCAAAACACATTGTGCCATTTTATATTTGATGTAATAAATTCCTTTTTAACAACCTGTACCCGGTTCCTGAGTTCCTGGAGAGATGTTTCACGCTTGCCAATCAGGGAAGATCCAACAGACCCGGCAATCCCAATAAATGGATGAAATGCTTCTATAGTTCAGAGTAACTTATTTGGCTCTGGAAATTGGGATTGTGCCATTTTTTCTCACTATATTCTATTCTGTTCCAACAGTACACACTATGCTATATTTTATATTTACTGTATCCAGGGTCCACAGTTAAATGATATTACTGAAAATAGGAGCCATTTGTAAAGATTTAGCAAAAAAGTAAAAGTAGAACCTAAAGTTTGCGCTATCACCTTTTTCTCTTTCTTCATCTCTGCAGCCGGCCAGTGCGTGAATGCGGGGCATCTGCGCAGGGTGCGTGAGTGCGGGCCATCTGCGCAGGGTGCGTGAGTGCGGGGCATCTGCGCAGGGTGCGTGAGTGCGGGGCATCTGCGCAGGGTGCGTGAGTGCGGGGCATCTGCGCAGGGTGCGTGAGTGCGGGGCATCTGCGCAGGGTGCGTGAGTGCGGGCCATCTGCGCAGCGTGCGTGAGTGCGGGGCATCTGCGCAGCGTGCGTGAGTGCGGGGCATCTGCGCAGCGTGCGTGAGTGCGGGGCATCTGCGCAGGGTGCGTGAGTGCGGGCCATCTGCGCAGGGTGCGTGAGTGCGGGCCATCTGCGCAGGGTGCGTGAGTGCGGGGCATCTGCGCAGCGTGCGTGAGTGCGGGGCATCTGCGCAGGGTGTCGGTGTGTGTGGACCTAGGGGTGCATAGGAAGTGGTAAAGTAATGACTGAACGAAGGAACTCCCTCTTTCTTGGGGGTATGTGTAACACGGATTACCTACACATGTTGCAGGATTATACAAGACTATTTATTTGGGTCTGCACAATACACTGATTAACCCTTTATTGTAATGGATACAGCTGGTATTCCTCTTTATTTGGGGGTACACTATATACACTGATTAACCCTTGATTATTTGGTTAGCCTTATATTCCCCCTCTTACTTGGGGGGGGGGGTACAGGTATTAACCCTTTACATGCCGGGTATCACAGATCCCCTGTATTTATTGGGGGACAGGAATAAAACCCTTTATATGCCGGATATAAGAGAACTCCCTGTATTTATCGGGAGTACACTGATTAACCCATTATATGCCGGTATGTATTGAGGGTACAGGGATTGACTCTCTATTTGCCGGTATTTATCGGGTGGTACAGGGATTAACCCTTTATATGCCGGTATTATATTATTGGGGGTGCAGGGATTAACCCTTTACATGCCGGTATTATATTATTGGGGGTGCAGGGATTAACCCTTTACATGCCGGTATTATATTATTGGGGGTGCAGGGATTAACCCTTTACATGCCGGTATTATATTATTGGGGTGCAGGGATTAACCCTTTATATGCCGGTATTATATTATTGGGGTGCGGGGATTAACCCTTTATATGCCGGTATTATATTATTGGGGTGCGGGGATTAACCCTTTACATGCCGGTATTATACTATTGGGGTGCAGGGATTAAACCTTTATATGCGGTATAATGTGTGGGGTCGCGAGGGGATTAACCCTTTATATGCCGGTATTATATCATTGGGGGTGCAGGGATTAACCCTTTATATGCCGGTATTATATTATTGGGGTGCGGGGATTAACCCTTTATATGGCGGTATTATATCATTGGGGGTGCAGGGATTAACCCTTTATATGCCGGTATTATATTATTGGGGGTGCGGGGATTAACCCTTTATATGCCGGTAT